CACACACATACACACACACACTCACACACACACACACACACACACACACACACACACACACACACACACACCAACAAACAACACTTGCGCACAAAACCTCTCTTACTCCCTCTCCCAACACTTCCACTACAAAAACAGACAAGTCAATAATGATCACCTTTTCACAATAAGACAAACACTTTGTCCATTCAAACTCTCTCAAAGGCGGGCGGGGTCAAAGAACAAACTTAATTATGAACCCCTTCCCAGCGTTCTGAGGCGCCCATCGGGGGGTAATTACCGACCGCTAACGATGTAGGGAAGCTCAATAATATTTCGTGACATCTGCTGCTCTCCTCCCTTACAGTATGCACGGTGGTCGGCACATCGCTCACGCAGAGAGGACAAGGTGCTGAATGGCCGGGTTCGAGTGCTGTTCGGTCTCTCGTGGCATGTTCTGTGATTTATCGGTTTACGCTTTGCTTATTTCAAATTTAATTTGTGCGTGAGTGATTAACAACAATACTCCCCCTTCTGAGAAAGGAATACGAAAAGAGCTCGATATTTTTATATCTTTTTAATGCTTATGTAATTATCTCAATTTTTGTATACCATATTTTGTTTTTGGTTTTGGTTTTGGTTTTCTGTGTGGTTTTTTTTAAAGAAATAATACAGACCTACCTGTTATTCAGCGAAGGAGGGGTTAAAATAAAGGAAGAGACAGACATACAGACAGATAGACAATTAAACAGATACGGTGTCATCCGGAGTTTATAAGAGAAGCAATTAGAGCAGAAGCAGCAGAGTAGTAGTAGTAATGGTACTTTCTATGCAACTATTGGTTGTTGTTGTTGTTGATGGTGGTGGTGGTGGTGGTGGTGGTGGTGTTGATGATGATGATGATGGATATTGACGTTATCATTAAATGATCAGAAATTTTCTTTAATGTTGAGGTTCTGTCTATTGTCTTTCGCGGTGAGATTTTTGGTTGTTTGTTTGTTTGTTTGTTGTGTTTTTGCTGGGGGGGGGGTTGTTTTGTTTTTTCTTTTGTTTCTCATTCTTTGTCTCTCGGGTATTATTCCCTTGGTGATTTGCTTGATAGCTTTTGAAGAGCCCTTGATCTTGCAAACTTTACCATAATGGACTTCCATCAACTCGCTAGAAGTGCCATGTGACTCCTGACTTCCACTTCCTGTTGGCATGCGCACAAGTGGTGTTGCTGTTTACTGTTGAATTGCAAACGAGGCGTTCGCATGGCAGTGCAAGAGAGTGCGGACAGTGTGCGGAAATTGAAACTGTTGTCGCGGTGTGCTGCGAAATTGGAATACTGATGAGGACATTTGAATAGAGAATGATGGCTTTTTTACGTGGCAGTGTTGCGCAAGGGGAGGGGAAATCTATCGCAAAAGTGTGAGGTGTCCCTCCACACCCACATCTGAGGCTTTTGTCTTTGCAATAAATATATAGATAATAGCATGACTTAGACGCTGAATGTAAATACTACACTAAAACAGACAATTCTTCAAAGGTGCAATTACTGATCATCACTGTGCAGTGCCCTGTTATTTAGCTAGGGCAAGAGTGTCTTGTTCAGGGGTACACCTCAGAGACTATCTGCCCAAAGGCTAAGTCAGGGAATTGGCTTGACACTGTTTGAAAGGTTATGTTCACTGACAACTCTTAAAAGTCGAAGAAGTAAGACTTTTGACAAGTGATTTACAAAATGTACTTATGAACAATCAATTACTGAATATACATGTATGAAGAAAGACAGAAAGATGACAGAAAGAAAGGAAGAAAGGAAGAAAGAAAGAAAGAACGAAAGAAAAGAAAGAAGAAAGAAAAAAGAGGCAGAAAGAAAGAAAGAAGTAACCGAATGAAGGAATAAATAAATAAATAGTATCCCAACAAGGTGGGTGGGAAAATAAAGGCAGCCCCTGGTGTTGTTTTAATTGTGTTTACCAATGCATAACGCCCTTTGGAGAGCTCTTGGTTCGAAAATTTTTATAGGACGGTAATAAACTATCGTACCATTTTTACCACCCAAGCCTTTGTGCGACCAACCACCGTAATAATACGCCATCGACACCCTGCCAATGTATTAGATGCAGGAGCAAAAAAAAATAGTTCACTTGACAAAATGTATTATTACACCCCTTTGAAGCCACTGAGAACGCACGAGTAATAAAAACAAATACTGGGAACTCTTAATTAATAATTTAGAATGAAAACTGAGGGGAGGAATGGCGGTTGTGGATGTGTACGTGTGTGTGTGTGTGGG